TTACATGGTTCAACCAAGATAAGGCGGTTTTTTTTTTTTTTCCTGGTAGGACCATAGAGCTTTGGTGGCACTGAAACACCTGAGAGAAAAAAGCGATAGACATTCTTGGTCCAACGCGGTTAGACACCACTCTGTGGTCGACACTTTTGAACTTGCCATGTGATACAACCTGCATCAATCGTAAAAGTTACCTTGAGAAATTTCGAACAAATGATTTAGAACTGAAAAGAATCAAGAAATCCATCTAAAACAATTGCAAAATGGGTAGTAGTAGAAAATACATGTAGAGCCCTTTCATGTTTGGACTGATAGGTAGGTTTCTAACCCTAAGGTTCCAACAACAGTTTGTGGCATCATGGCATGTTTGGTTTTGTTTTTGTTTTATGTTTTTCGTTTTCCATAGAACATGCCAAAAACTGCTCTGGAAAATTTTATGAAAACAACTCAATTTTTAGGAAACACCAAATTATTTTTCCAATTTTTGAACAAAAAAGAAAATATGTAAGAGTATCTCCAATCCTTACTCATACCTATGTCAAATTTAAATTTGGGCAAAGTCACTCAAAAACCTCTCCACCCCTTGACTCAAACTATTGAAGCACTTTATTTACTCAAATTTTTACTTAAATTTGAATAAGGGCGGGAGATGGCCTAAGTGGTAGATATTTTCAAAATCATTCGTGCTTTTTATTTCTAAAAACAAAAAATCTGAAATGGAAAAAAAGGAAAAAAAAGAAAAGAAAAACAACTAAAGAGTTAAAAAAGTCACTAAAAAGTCCAAAGAAAACCAACAAATCATACCCCCAAAAAAATCTTTTTTGTCTATTTTTTTTGCATTTTAAAAAAAAAAAATCAAAAAGTTCTCCTAAAAATATAAAAATATAAAAATAGTATATTTCCAAACCAGTCGCAGCAAAGGAAAAGCAATTTTGCAGCGTGAGACATTAAAAATGTTGAACTTGCTTGGATAATGATCAGTATTATACAGATCAAAATTGCTATTAAATCTCACTTTTCTATTCCGATCACGCACGTAGAACCCTTTCTTCGCCTCCGAATCTTGTTCGTTAAATTCACGATCCACTCAACACACCGGAAGGTATTCCACCATTCCTCTGACGCTATGCACATTTCATCCACAATCTCATCGCGCCGATCACCGCAGTCCATGCCGCCCAGATCTATGATCGGAACTTGCAAATTTGTAAGGCAAGAGTTGGGTGTGTCGGGAGGATCGTTGGATGGTCTGATGAAGATTTTGGGGATTTTGACTACTCTGGCATCTACGAGTCCTTTAACACCGGCTTTTGATTCGTCGAAAGCTTTTAGCACTGCTTTGGGATCATATACGAATCTGGTTTGAGGCCTCGTTTGGAACAGATTATTTTAGTATTTTTAAGTAATTTTTTGGCTTTTTATAAAAAGATGTGCAGAAAAGTAGAGAGGTGATGTGATTAGTTTTAGTTGACTTTTTGACTTTTTAGCTAAAATAATCACTCCCCAAACGAGGCCTCAGGCCTCGTTTGGGAACAGGCTAATTTAGTAACTTTTTGGCTAATTGGCTAAAAAGGTAGGTAAAAAAAACTTGTATGTTTGGGATGACTTTTTGACTAATTACGAAAAGCTATGTAAAAAGTAGAGAGAAGCCGTAATTGTTGACTTTTTGGTATGACTAATTGGCTAATTGGCTAATTTAGTAACTTTTTGACTAATTGACTAAAAAGGTAGCATCCCAAACGAGGCCTCAGTGAAGGAATTGTTGGTGCCGGATCTAGGCTTGGGGCAAAGTACGTTTAACCTCTAGCATAAAATTTGAAGTTCAATATTAATTTTTTTTAATATGAAAAAAAATCAATGATGTTACGATAAAATATTGAATTATATATTTCTTGTCAATATAGTTGAATCTCAAAAGATGATCATACAATTGAGAATATTTTTTTTGCCCATATTCACTTACAAAAAGTAATAACTATTTCTATATGTATTTATTTACTAAAATTAGGCATCTTCAATTGAGTTCTATCATATTTCTAAAAGTCATAAAATATAAGGCAGCACAAAATAATATTTAGATTTTTATCCAAATTCTTAGAGAAAATCAACAAATCATAACCTAAAAGCCTACAAATTACAATAAATCATAGTATTAAAAAAAAAAATCACAATATTTAGTTAACAATTGTACCAATAACAATTATCAGATATTCATCGCAACTCCTGGCTTCTCCACCTTATGCCATAATTTCACCCAAAAAAACAACCAGCTTGCATTGGCCTCACATTGTCATTAAATTATTATTTATTTTTAAAAAAATTCAAAATCAATTGCTAACCCAGATAATGTTAGAGGTGGTGGGTTCTGAGTGTGTGTTGAAAGAGTATATGTGTGTTTATTTTTTCAAGATTGGCATAGTAAAATAAAAGAGTGTTTGGAGAGATGAGCGAAATCTATTGACAATGGGGGTGTAATTGTGGGTTATGTGACGTAGGAAGTTGAGGATTTGGGTTGTCAAGTTTGGGATACCAAAACTAAAACTTGGGTTGAAGATTTCTAGTTGTCTGCAAGCTTATGGGTGACCAATAACAACCAATAACAAATTAATGACAAAATAATCGATTTATTCAGTTTAAAATCACAATCAATCATATTATTCAGTCTAAAAAAAGAATAATCACATTGAAGCTGAAGGGATATCAGATAACTTACCAGTGAGAGTCCACAGTTCCACCGTCCACGCCGACCAGCTCTGACAAAGTCCAACAACAAAGCTTCTCCGTTTCTTCCCTCATCTCTTCGCTCCTCTCCTCTCTTTTGAATCGCAACAAGTCTCTTAGATCAGTTGTTTTCTTTTCTTTTTTTAATCTTAGTGCTTTGTTTGAACAAGCTTCTCTAGCAAGCCTTATAGTTTATATATTTGTAAAAGTTTCATATTTTACACTTTGACCTATTAAAGTTTCTAAAATTTCACTTTCATCTTGACCTAATTTAAAAAATACAGATACATAAAATTTTAAATAGATTATTATATATGTTAACTAATTCAAAAAAAAAAATTCAAATAGCTTAAAAAATTAGAAAATTATTCTATATAATTTTAAAATTATTTTAAAAAAATTTAAAAGTGCAAACTATTATAATTTTAAATTTTAGTATAATATATGACATCCCCCCGCGCCGCGGGACGATCCATCCTTGGTTGGTTCTTGAGAGATAATCCATGATGAAAGAGAAGATGGTGAGCGAGTGTGCATGCGTTGGTTTAAGGCGTATGAGATTTTGTAGACAAATGTTATACATGGCAGCTAATCAAAAGTTGCCACGTAAGCAAGAGATTTGGTTCTTGAGAGATAATCCATGATGAAAGAGAAGACGGTGAGCGAGTGTGCATGCGTTGGTTTAAGGCGTATGAGATTTTGTAGACGAAAAATGCTTGGGAGCACTAATTAGTGCTCCCACTAATTAGGTGGCAGTGGGTCTCGTCATTAATGATGTGATGTTTTGGTCTTAGAGTTGTATTTTTTTTTTTTTTTTTACTTTTTTAATGCATTAATGCTATTAGTGGTGATGTTTTTAGTGGGATGAATCATTGCTGTAATTATAGATTAAAAGGTTATGCTATAGACCAAATCATTTATCAAATTTTCAAACAAAGCTCATACACGTAGGTTTGTGTAGGTTTTGCATTTATGCGAGAAGTTTAATAAGAAATTGGATAAATTATTTAGGAAAAATTATTTAGAAGTCCTATTAAGAAGATTTTTGTTAAATATGATTATACTAAAAAATTTATGTTTTCATAAGTCTTGTGTGAAGTTTGTTGACACATTTATCTTCAATATTAGTTGTTAATATCATAAATAATAGTAAAACTATATATAAGAAATTAAATGTTACCATAGATCATATCTATATAAACGTAACTAGAGGTGAGTAGCGGATACACCGATCCGCCAAAACCGACTGAACCGAACCGATCCGCCGCATTTTGGACGGATGAGTGATGATGAGCGGATGGTTGCGGATTTATTTTCTCAAATCTGCCAATCTGGTGGACGGATGGCGGATTTGAGATTCCTTTGACCGCAACTGAACCGCCAAACCGCGAACACCCCTAGTAATTTATAAGACTTTATGTTTTCAGTTTGTTTAAATATTCTATTTGTGTTTTCAATTAAAAAAGAGTTTAAATATTCTGTTGAAAAAAGTTTTCAACTTGAATATCTTTTTTGAATTGAAAAAAATAAACGTATTATTTATCTATATTTTTTGGTTTTTAAATCTATCTCTAAAAATAATAAATAGAAAATATGATATATGCTGGTTGGTTTTTTGTTTTCAAAACAGATATAGATTTAACAATACAGAGACATACAATTTCTACTACTACTGTGTTGGTTTTGGTGATTTGATTTGTTTTTATATTTTAAGAATCACAGATTGTAATACTTTATGTAGATGAGGCATGTTGTGATTGTAGTATGTGGATGAGGCATGCAATGATTGTCATATTTTAAAGTTTCAAACTTTTTTCCTTTAGATGAGGCATGTAGTAATTGTAATATTTTTTTAACTCATTAACTGTAATACTTTCTTATTTTTTCTTTTTTTTTTTTGAAGAAGTGCACAAGTTGAATTATGTTGAAAATTTATAAAATTTTAAATCGCCAAACCGATTCGCATTCATCCGCCAAAAAGCCAATCCACTCAATCCACATCCGCCGGATTGGCAGACGAATGCGGATTGATTTTCTCCAATCTGCCAATCTGGCGGACGGATAGCGGATTGGAGGTTTCGTGGCCACAACCGACCCGCGCCCACCCCTAAACGTAACATAACGTGACACCTACATAAACGTAATGTGACACCTATACGTAATGTGACATCTATATAAACGTAACGTGAGAGGAAATTGAATGTTGCCATAGATCATATTTATATGAAACGTAACATGACACCAACATAAACCAACAACATTTTCACATTCAATTTAAAAAAATAAAACTCATTAAGTTTGCGAAACGTAACGTGACACGTTACGTTACGTTTATGTAAGTGTCGCGTTACGTTACGTTTATATAGGTGTCACGTTACGTTACGTTTATGTAAGTGTCACGTCACGTTATGTTTATGTAGGATCTTGTGGAATACATTCCTATCTAAATAGGACTTGAGACTCTATAAGAAATTTCACAGAACTTAGCCTACCATAAGTGTCTGAAAAATGACTTATAAATAAGTCTCCCAATTATTTAAGATTTATAATATTTTCTTAGATTAAATGTCTCTTCTTATCTAATTATAAACTAGTGGTAACCCATGCTATGCATGAGATTTTATAAATTAAAAAAAAAATTATTATAATTATCTTGAACTAATTTAATATTTTATCTTGTGGTATACATAAAATTTATAAGTTATTTTTATATTTATAACTTTTTAAATTATTAGTTTAAAAAAAGTCTAATTAGTGCAATTTTGATAAGTCTAATTAGTGCAATTTTGATAATTTGTATTAAAAAAAAGTTAAATCTAATTAAATGAGATTACATGAGTTATGACATACCTCTTCTTGTTATGAAAATATACAAATTGAAAAGTTATATGTAAGACAAATATACAAATAAATGCGAAGTGAAGTGATATTTAACAATAATTAATATGATGTTTCTATTATTAATCTAATAATTTAAGTTACATTTCTTTTAATTTCAATTTCACAACTAAAAATACAATATGAATATAATACACACATGGATTTCTATTCTTTAAGAATAAGAAAGTTTTAAAATATTTTCAGACTTTCATCATTTTTTTTTATCTAATTTGATTTTAAATTTGAATACAATTTTTGATTTTATGTGAATTATTTTAACTTTTTCATTAAATTTTTATCAATTTTTAAAAGAATTTCAATCTTATCCCAATTTTTTTTTTTCTTTTCACCAATTTTGAGGGGAGAAAACAATAATTTTCAACATTTCATCTTTTTAAATTTTTATTAAATTATAATTTGATTAAAAAAATATTAAGGGTTGAAGATTCACTTAATTGGAATTATAATGAAATAACATCTTGAAATAGTCAAAGTTTGAATATGTTGTTAGTTGAAATGTATAATTTAATTAATTCTCCTATCATATTTGTATAAAAATTGACACTTATGACTAAATCATTATAAGTCAGATTATGGAAAAAAATTTGAGGTGTTAAACATTTTCCAGTTGTAAAATATCCTACATATTAAAAATAAATATAAAAAAAATGTGTAACTTTTGAATATGTGTTTATCAGTTTTGTTTTATAGACATAAACAATTGATATTTCAATTTAAAAATTAAAAAGTAAAAAATAAA